GAGAGATGCGTGTAGTCCTTACTTTGGCAAACTCCTCCAGAAGATGGCAGCACTAAGCTGAGTATCACAATGAAAAGTATCCTGGTGAAACCAAAATCTGTAGTGTGTAAAATTCAGGGACCCCTGACTTTGATGGTATTATTTATTATTTATTAGTGTTCTTATTATATTGTTTATTTGTTTTTACTTTAAGGCAAGGTTTTATTTAGCCTCAGGCTGACCTCAAATTCCTAAGGAGCCAAGTATGGCCTTGAATTTCTGATCCACTTGCTTCTCCCTCCAGTCATGCATCACCCATATGCAGTTCTCAGTACAGAATCTAGGGCCTTGTGCAAGCTAGGCAAGCACTGTGCCAGGTGAAATCACACACACACACACACACACACACACACACACACAAGGTGAAATCAGGCAAGCACTGTGCCAGGTGAAATCACACACACACACTCAAGCTAGGCAAGCACTCTGCCAGGTGAAATCACACACGCACACGCACACACACACTCAAGCTAGGCAAGCACTCTGCCAGGTGAAATCACACACGCACACGCACACACACACTCAAGCTAGGCAAGCACTCTGCCAGGTGAAATCACACATCACCCAAAAATTCTATATTTTTACCTGTTTTACCATGTTCAAACAGATTTATAGAAGTTATATATTTCTCACTCTGCCAGGTGAGATCACACACACACACACACACACACACACACACACACACACACCAACCATGCAAGAGGGTAACCTAATGATGTCTGATGACAAAGACTTGATCTCAGGAAGTGATTTCCTCCCGTCTCATACCCATTGACCTTTTGCAGATGAGTGACAGCTGTCTTTGTCCCAGTTAATTGTACAGAGATCTCTACCGACTTCACTGGGATGCTGGCTGCTCCTAGGTTTAATTGTCCTACCATAAAGAAACATGTCCTCTGGGGGTTGGAGGAGTTTGGCTTTGCTAAATCCTGGTCATATCTCCAGAAGACCAGGTTTAACTTCCCAAAGAATGCACAAAAGGAATCCCACATGACATAAATCGTTAATGGCACTGACCTCACAAAGGGCCTCATACACAATAGGCACTTGATACTAACCAACCTTAAGTCTCTGCTATCCCCAGTTCAAACCCAATCCCAAGAGACTCACTAAACCCCTGGATGAGTCTCAGTTTAGTCCTGACAACCAACAATTGTCTGCTAACACTTCAGAGCCTGAACTGTTCAGGCTTCATTTCCATTCACAGTGTGGCATAAGGGACCTGAGCTTTGAGGCTAAAGCAACTGGAATTCTAATTCCAATACCCATTACCACTGCCAGGTATAGAAAGGAATTCTATTCAGCAATCGAATGCCATTGTCATCTAAAATTTGTACCTGCTACCCAACACGGAGCCTAGGTATACCTTTTCTAATTGTGGTTGTTTGGAAGAAGGGCCTCTATAGGCTCATATATTTGAACGCTTAGTCATCAGAGAGTGGTACTGTTTAGGATTAAGAGGTGTGGCCTTATGGCAGTGGGTATGGCTTTATTGGAGGGAGTGGGTCACTGAGAGTGGACTTTGAGGTGGATCTAGATGTGCCCCCTCTCCCCTCCCCTCCCCCACTTCTCTGCCTGCAGATCAGGATGTAGCTCTCAGCTACTGCTCCAGCACCATGCCTGCCATGCCACCACCAGGCTCCCTGCCATAATAAACCAAGCTCTGAAGCCAGTCCCAATCAAATGCTTTCCTTTCTAAGACTCGCCATGTTCATGGTGTCTCCTCACAGCACTAGAACAGTGACTAACACACTCTTACATTCTTCTCCAGTCTCCATATCCTTCCCTCTGTCTGCCCTCCCTTGCCACATTTCTGTGCTTGGGCCCTTAATTCTGCTTCCTGGGATAAACTTTTTCCCAGCCGCTAAGATTCTCTAGAGTGAAGACACTGGATGTAGGGAATACTCAGAACATACTTCTTAAAGGAGGTTGGAATTAGCTACAAACCACTTGCTGAATCTCGCCCTTCCTGAGACACTCACTGTGCAAGTGGCAAGACAGACTTCTTTGCTGGCCTTGTCCTTGGGCCTTTCCTCCAGTTTCTTAAATGTCACACTGAAAGGTACCAGGAGGGAGGAGGTAGAACAGCTGTGATGTCTAGCAACCTGGGAGACAAAGGGTCCAATAGCATGCAATAAGTTAGATACTTACCAGTTTCAGGTTCCTACACTACACTCATGCTAACTAGGTACATACCCAAAGATTATTACTGCCCTCCTTGTTATTGGCCATGCAATTTTCTTTTTCTTTTTCTCCTTTTTTTATTTAGAAACAATCATTTTACATAACAATGCCCATTCCCTCCCCCTCCCATCCTCCATACCCCCTGCCAACCTCCCCAACCCACCCCCCAAAGACAGTGAGGCCTTCCATGGGGGGAGCAGCAAAGTCTGTCACATCCTTTCTGGGAGAACCTAGGCCCTCCTTCGTGTTTCTGAGCTGAAATAGTATCACTTCATAGGGAAATGGGCACCCAAAGTCCATTTATGCACTAGAGATAAATACTGGTTCCACTGTTAGAGGCCCCATAGCCTGCCCAGGCCTTCTAACTGGCACCCACATTCAGAGGGTTTGGTTCAGTCCAATGCTGGTTCCCCATCTCTACAACTGGGGTCCGTGTGCTCTCACTAGGTAATGTCAGCTGGTTCTATAGGTTTCTCCAGCTCGGTCTTGGCTCCTTTGCTCATCCCTCCTCCCTCTCCACAACTGGATTTTGGGAGTATGGCTCAGTGCTTAGCTGTGGGTGCCTGCTTCTGCTTCCATCAGCTACTGGATGAAGGCTCTAGGATGGCAGTTAAGGAAGTCATCAATCTCATTATAGGGGAAGGGAATCAAAGGCGGCCTCTCCACTACTGCCTAGATTCTTAGTTGAGGTCATCTTTGTGGATCTCCGAACATTTCCCTAGTGCCAGATTTCACTTTAGACCTATATTGGCTCCCTCTATTATTTCCTTTCTTGCTTTCTTCTATTCCTCCCGATTCAGTCTTCCTGATCCCTGTTGTTCTCCTCCTCCCTCCACTTCTCCCCTTCTTTTTCCTACCTCCCTCTTCTCTCCCCCAGTGCTAAGATCTTGTCCCTTTCCCCTTCTTTGGGGTACCATGTATTTTTCTCTTAGGGTCCTCCTTATTTTCTAGTTTCTCTGGTGGTGTAGAATGTAGGCTGGTAAATCCTTAGCTCTATGTCTAATATCCATATATGAGGGAGTACATACCATGCTTGTCTGTGACTGGCTTACCTCACTCAGGATGGTTTCTACCAGTTCCATCCATTTACCTGAGAATTTCAAGATTTCATTGTCTCCTCCCCCCCCACTGAGTAATGCTCCATTGTGTAAATGTACATTTTTCTCCATCCATTCTTCCGTTGATGTGGCCATGCAATTTCTAACACAGCATTTCCTTTGTGCACTCATGTGTGTATGTGCATGTGGCACATGGAAGCCAGAAGTAGATGTCTAGTGTCACTCACTCACAACCACTCTCTACTTTTAAGACTGCGTCATTCACTGAACCAGGAGCATGCCGATTCAGGTACATGGACAGCCAGCATGCTCGTCTCTGCTTCCCAAGAGCTGAAAACAGTGTGCCATGGAGTAACAGGTCCTCACACCTGCACAACAAGCACTCTTCTAAGAGGTATCAGCCCAGGCTCCAAACCTCCAACATTTATCTCACTTCTGGCATCTGCATCCAATGCCAGCAAGCCTTCTTTTCCTACACAGCCTCATTACTCAAGCATGTCAAATTTGTCACCTCCAGTATTTACTCTGGGAAAACTTGTTCTCAGGGACCTTGAACTACAAAGCCACTCATGACTTCTTGGAATCAAAACCACTACAAGGGCCAGGAGTCTTAAACCTCAGTTTTCTTTAGTTCCCAAAATAGCCACAGCCTGCAGTTACTGGCTAATCACAAGTATTGCTTAGTGATGTTTCATCTCCATTAGGAACGCACACCATTCCTTAAAGCGTCTTATTTCTGTCTACAGTTGCCAGTGAGTTCTTCAAACCCAAACAGTGGTTCTGGTCACCGCAGACGGTGGGCATGCCAAACTGATGGGTTTCTTAGGAGAGCATCTCTACAGAACACTAAGGTTCCAGCAGATAGGGATGTCAAGATGAACAGAGTAGGCTCCTTTGCCCAATCTCCCTTCCTGGAGGGCTGGGTTGCAGAGCTCTGCTACTACATAGCCCCAAGCAACAATTAACCCTGGAGAGACTGGAATCTTGTCTCAGCGAGGAAAGCTAACTTCTACACATTTTATGGCTCCAGGTCTACCAGGAAAGGGCACACTGACCCTGAGAAAATGGGAATTGCACTACACCACACAGACTAGGAAGCAAGACGTAGGGCATGAAGTGTGTCTTTATAGGGACACTAACAGGCAGTGAATGGGACTTAACCTCTCATTTAACCAAGCTGAATTTGCATTGCCTTTGTTTTGGTGGTAGCCCCTCCTCGGCCTCTAATTTCACACACAGGAGGAGGCTATACAGTATGAATGCAGTGAACACACCAAAGTTCCGTCTCCTTCCAAATACCACCACACAGATTCTAGCTTCCTTTGTAAGGGGCTGCAAATAAGCTGTAGAAAAGACATGCAAAAGATGTGGTCACTCAGGCCTGCTTCCCCGCAAAATGACAAGGTAACAAACACTGTGATCCCAGAACCTATGAAGGGTGTACCCATCCCTCAGCAGGTCCTGTAGTGAGAGACACCTGGCCTACCACTCTCCCGTCTAGCTGTCAAGACTCCTAAAAACAGCTAAAGTCACATTCACACACAAAAGTACCTGCTGTGCCCACAAAGGGACCCTCGATATCATCACCCTTACTCATCTTGGCTCCCCGAGACCTTTGGGTCACTAGTACCCACCTCCTCCCGCTCTCATTCCCAGCTACACAGCTTCCTCCAAGCCTCCCGCTCCGTGACCACCAATAAGCAATCGGATACAATCTGCTTCAGGCTACCTTTTTTAATTGGTACATGGTAGACTTCAACATCTTTAAGGCAGAGAAATTGCCACTCCTCGGCATGCCCCAGTGGTAGCACACACACAGAGATGACTGACAAAGACTAGATGCCTGTGGATCAGAGGCTCTACAGTGGCCCAGGCTCAAGGGGAAAGGTGACCACACAGCTGGACAAAGGTACTTGCTGCTAAAAACAAGACTTACAGTGTAGCAGAGCTCCAGCCCAGTCCCATGGAGAACTACTTCACTTCCAGCCAGGCTTCTCAGCTGTAAACAGACAGGAAGGCTGCCCTGCTTACCTAGACAACTGGTATGATAATCACATAAGATAATGTAAAGTGAAGTTCACTGTAAGCACTGAACAGAGTAACTGTGTTATCACTTTAAGTTGAAAACAGTTGAGACAGGGCCTAACCTTGGGCCTAGGGGAAAGGTGGACTTTATTTCCTCTCAGGGAAAGAAGTGAAGGGTAGCTTTCCCAGGTACCCCAACCTCAGGAAAGGGTAGGTGTGCTCCAGAGGTTGGGGCTAGAGTTGCCAGATGACCATTCTGACAGGCTCCTCTGTGCCCACTTCCGGGCATTCGATGCAGGGTGTGGGCAAGAGTCATTCCCCTGGAGTAGCAGCTCAATGTCAACAGAGGCACGAGGAGGTATGTGCTGGTATTCACAAAATGGAAGGTGGAGCAGGACTGGGTGGCCCACACCTGATGTCTGCCTGGTGCAAGGCCTGACCACTGTGGCTCTCCTCCCAAGGGCCTCAGGGCCCCAGAAGCATCACTCCGTCCTATGGCTGGTCCCTTAAATGTCCATCTCAAACTGTGACTCTTCACCTGTGGAGAGAAAAGACGGAGGGCCAGTCAATAACCAAGGGGCAAATGCAATACTCCAGGCTTAGAGGCCAGGGAGTTATTCTCAGAGGTCCAATGGAGGTGTACAAGACAAAAGGTAACTAGGTTAGGAAACCAGGCTTCCTCATAAGGGAGGTGGCAGTGCTGAGTTTTCTGTAAATTTAATTGTTAATATGTGACCAAGGGCTGGAGCTTTTAAAACTATGCACTCTCATCCTCACACTATCTGAGGCTACCAGGCCACTATTTACGGTTGAGAGCTGGAGTACCAACAGAAACTAGGAGCAGGGTAGGTGTGCCAGCAAGGGTAAATGACAGCCTTCAGTTCATGGTGACAACTTCAGGGGTGGCCTAACTTCATCCTGTCATTTCTGATTTGAGGTTAAAAAGAAAAAGAAAAAGAGAAAAGTAAAGGTGTGAGGCACTGTGCAATCACCAAGGAATCCCTCCATCCTTGAACACATAGCAGGGAGCCACACATGTAGCTTCATGACCACTGTTCTCTGTACACAGTCAAATCTGCCTTCCTACTGCTATTCAGCCCCATCCCCAGATGGTGGATCCCAGGGTAATTAGGAATCCCATCCCACAGGGCAAGGGCCATCAGCAGCTCCCTGTCTGAGTCTGGGGCACCTCCTTCAGAGCGGAAAGTCAGATATGGTATTCCTCAGACTGTGGGTATGTGCACGTGCTTACATGTAACATGGTCATGTGGCGGTGCTTGCATATAACACTCACCATGTGGACACACTTACACGGGAGAGAGCTCAGAAGCTCTGACCACAAGAACATGTTCACACTCCACATGCAGCTGCCAGGGTGCGTGCTTTGATTACTTTGGAGAGGAGGGGAACCAGGAAGGACCTAGCTATAAATGTCAAAGCTCCATTAACAATAGGAGGCATTGTCTGCCTGTCTTCACCAGCAATCCACTGAAGGACCAGTACCACCAGGAGGTACCTTGGTTTATTTTTTTATCTTGTAGACATGTAAGTTCCCAGAGGGAAAGTATACCGTGTCTTTCATAAGTTGTCTCCAGCACCACATACACTGCATGGCACACTTGTGGTGGTGCTGTGTGAGCAACCACAGAGACAGGCAGGCTGATGGAAGACGCTGTGTAAAGCCACTGTCATCTTACTCACAAGTTACATGACCTGATGCATCACATCAGCTGTCCTGGGGTCCTTGGAGGTTTGAAGGGGGCAAGCTGGCACCAATCAGAGTTCTATTCCCACCGGTGCCCCACCCTCTAGGCTCCCCACTATCGCCCCCGTCCCTGAAACTTGGAATTTCTCAGAGAAAACGGACAAGCTTCCTCCCCTCACAGGGCCTGGACGGGTCCAGTACTCACCGCCTGCCCGCTTATCTTCCGGGCTGCTATGCAGATGGCTCTGACTGGTTTGCATAGGAGGCTCATCACTGGTCGGGCTAGTGACCCCAGGAATAGCTGGCAGGTCCTTCGGGGGTGTTTTGGCCACAGGTGAGTTCCGACACTCCATCAGGAATTTCCGGTCATAGATGATCCTGGTTCCTGGTGGGGGAAACATAATAAAGAGGTTAATAGGGTCACCCAGAACCCCCTGCCTGTTGTCTTTTCCACTTCCTGGAAGTATGGCCATAGCAGAGGTAACAGGTTCCTTTATACAACCCTAGATCAAGGGTAGTAAGGCTGACCAAGGGACCTGACCAACCTGGTCACAGCCCTACTCCACTGCCCACTCCAACACCACTTGGGGTGCCCCTCCCTCACAGAGTGCTTATTGGCTACCAAGACGCACCTTTGTTTTCTCAGAGCTCTGAACATCCTATGCAATCTCTACAGACCCCCCCAGCTCCTCCTGTCAACTACACATGACAAGGAGATCCCACAGAAAGGGGGGCCTTGTAGTCATCACACCCTAACCTGCAGAACCCCAGTAGGTGGCTCATCCAGAACAGACAGTGGATCACGCCCAGCATCAGGAGACTTCTCCCTGCCCAGTCTTTGCAGAAACAGGAAACACTCTATATACTCCAAAAAGGTCTTAGGCTGGGCCCTTCTCCAAACCTCCACTATATCTACCCGCATCACCCCTGTAAGGGCTGACATGAAGGCCATCCTCCTACCCAGCCTCCTATCACAAGTTAATCTTATTCCCCAGTGAGGGCCAATCTCCGTGAACTGTTCTCCATCAGTAAACCATACTCAGAACCCTTCACCTCCACCCTCGCAGCTTCCCAAACACCATATAAGGGAGCATTTCCCAAAGTAAAGGAGCAAGACCATTATGGGTGTGGTGGTTTGAATGGGAATGGCCCCCACAGACCCATGTGTTTGAATGCTTGGCCCATGGAGAGAGGCACTATTAGGAGGTGTGGCCTTTGGAGGAAGTGAGTCACTGTAGGGGCAGGACTCGAGGTCTCGTATGCTCAAGCTACACCCAGTATGCACACAGGTCTCTTCTGCTGCCTACAGATCAAGATGTAGAACTCTTAGCTACCTCTCCAGCACCATGTCTGCCTGAACACTGCCATGTCCCACCGTGATGATAATGGACTGAACCTCTACACCGTAAGCCAGCCCCAAGTAAATGTTTTCCTTTATAAAAGTTGCCTTGGTCAGGCAGATCTCTTTGAGTTTGAGGCCAGCCTGGTCCACAAAGGGAGTTCCAGGACAGGCTTCAAAGCTACACAGAGAAACCCTATCTCAGAAGAAAGAAAGAAAGAAAGAAAGAAAGAAAGAAAGAAAGAAAGAAAGAAAGAAAGAAAGAAAGAAAGAGTTGTTGTTGTCATGTTGTCTGTTCATAGCAATAAAAACCCTAACTAAGACAATGGGAGACCCATGAGGTGAGAGTAAGCAGACGAACTTATCCATGGCTCCCTGCGGCCTCAAACACAGCAGCATGGCATCAATGGTTTATTTTTAACCCCTCAACAGCACATACTGAATGCCTCCTTTTCAGCCAATCTCAAGTCTTAGGTTCCAAGCCTCTAGCAGACAATGGCATCCAGCTGGAATTTAAAAACTGTCTTTGCATTTCTATTTATAGTTATCATCTGCAGATGACAAATCTGGTTTCTCAAATGCAGTAGTGGCATCCAGTTTCTTCTTAATAGAGACTATATGTCATAAATTGCATATTATATAATGCTATATACCACACATAATAAAAAATAAATTAAGGGCTAGCTGGGTGGTTCAGCTGGCAAAGGCACCCACCTGCCACCAAGCCTTATGACCTGAGTTCAAAACCAGGAATCCACATGATAGGAGAGAACCAACACCCACAAGTTGTCTTCTGACCCCCATATGCATGCTGGGGTATACATACACATACACACACACACACACACACACACACACACACACACACCTATATTCACTCACTCACCCTCCCTCCCTCTCTCAATAAATAATTTTTTAATTCAATCAATTTGGGCTTGAGATTAGGACAGAACTACTGACAGCCCCTGAAATGTCCACACACGTGCTGCTGCCACTTGTCCCACTTATTTAAACAAATGCCTTTCTTGGCTTGGATGATGGTTTGGTGCTACCTGGAGAAGGATCTACAAATACTCTTGTTTTTAAATGAGTAAGTATACAGTAAGCCAAAGTAAAAGAATAAATAGCTAGAGAGAGACGGGTAGACACAAACATTATTAAATCAGCCAAATGTTCAGCAGAAATTGACTTTAAGGCAGCTAGCTGGCATTCCCAACAGAGTCACAGCTGAAGCAGAGGAAACATCATCAAACCAGATGTTCATGACATCCAGCAAAAACCAACTAGGGAAGTTGAGGCAGGCCGCTGGAGTTCCTGACTGAGCTTCCTCTCCATAGAGGAGATTCCCGAGGCTGAACTTGCAGCATCTCTCTCCCATTGAGGGCACTTTCTTTACGTCATGGCATAAACAACAGTGACCTTGGCAGTGGCTCACCTCCTAGCTGCTGTCACCGGCATTTTCACTCATGTTTGTTTTGCTGTCCTCTGCCCTTCTGTGTGACACAGGTGCAAGACCATCTAGATGAGGCACCTTGGAGGACAAGGACTGTGAGATAAACACACTGGGTCTGAGAGGGGAGAGGGTGACCCTGCTTCTACAGCCAGCTTATCAGTCAGCTCAAAGAGCATAGGACAACTAATACAATGTGCATCGCAGATGATTACAGAAACAAAACACGGATTTTAACCAAAAAAACATTGACGATGCTTTATGTCCTACAGTGGGCAACATTCAGCCAAGATACCATTCTTCATAAACAAGCAGGTCATCTCTGTATGCAAACTTGCTTTCATCTTTAACAGTAGTCATATTACATGTATGCCAAAAAAAATTGTCTTTAAATAAATTCATGACTTATCAGTTAATGTTTCATTTGCATACCTATTTCATATGCCTGCACACCTAGAGTGGTGTAAAAACTCACACTAGAAGAGGTCAAGCAAAAATGGTTTAAGAAGTCCTGGGTGTGGTAGCACATCCAGAACTCAGGAGGAAGAGGTCAAAAGATCTCTGTCAGTCCAAGGCCAGCTTGATATAAGTGGCAAGCTCCAGGATAGCCAATGCTACATAGACAGACCCTGTCTCCAAAAAGTAAAAGAGGAGTCCTGATATAGGACCCGGGGGAGGCACACCTTCGGGAGTGCCTGTAAGGACATTCCCTAGGAGGACTAACTGAGGACACAAAACGCTGTCAGCACCATCTCATGGTTTGGAAGCCAGAAAGGCAGCAGCGTTCCCCTTCTCTCTGCTTCCTGTCTACCCTAAGGTCAAGACCCGCCTCTGCCACATGCTCCTGCTGCCACGATGTTCTACCCAAGGGCACTGAGTCAAGTGACCGTGGACTGGACTCAGAAATCATGAGCCAAAATAAATATTTCTGTTTTCAGTTCTTCTGTCAGGGATTTGGTCACAGAGATGAGAAAGGTAAAGTTTAAGAACAACGTAGAGGTGGACAGAGAGTGCACACTGAGTCCGCTGTGTTGTTGGAATCTAGAGCCTACTGGGTTCTGGGGTCAGAGTTCAAAGTTCAGTGTTGAACTGACTGGAGTAACTTTTTTTTTTTTCTAGCTGAGTCCTGAAACACAGTTGTCTCATTTTCTAGCTCTAGGAACAGTGGACCAGGTACCACTTCCTCTACCTGTGCCTCAATGACCTCTCAAAGACCTCAAAATGGGCCTGTTGTGCATTAGAACAGGGGCCCACCCAAGAGAACCCCACACATACACTAGCAATTATCTGTCCATAAGGTTTAAGGTGAGAGCCAACTCCGTGTGAGCTTGATCTAAGTGGCAAGGTTGTGAGCATGGGAGAGCTGTCCCCACTACTCCTCTGTCTAGTGGTGGCATGGGCAGGGGAGACATGTCCTCCCCCCTCATCCCAGTAATGCCTGAGGTAGATGGGAGAACTATCCCTGCTCCCCACCAGCTACAACACTCTAGTAAGCAGGCCCTGCACCTTGCCTGGGCAGCACAATAGAGCTGACTCTGTTAGCAGAGGTATGGGTGAGCCAGCCCCAAAGTTGTGAGCATGAGAACTGCCCCCATTACTAATCTGTCTTGAGGCAGCATGGGTAGGGGAGAGATGACCTCCCCCATCCCACCCCACCCCATCCATCAATGCCTGAGGCAGGTGGGAGAGCTGGCCCTGAGGTCTTAAGAGCAGAAGAGCTGTTCCTACCCTTCATCAGCTGCCTACCCTGGGCAACACAATAGAGCTGGCCCTGGAGGTGTAGGTGACCGACCCTTAGGACATGAAAGCAAGAGAACTAGCCCCTTGCTCATCATTGTAAGGGTTGAACTAGCCCACGCAATGCTGGAGAGCCCACCCTGGTGGCAAAGCCAGGGGAGAGCTGGTGGGCTGACCCCTGCAACTACCCAGGCCCAGAATCAGGGTTATGTGTTGACCGCCCCATCTAAGATCTATTAGAGTACAAGGAGGTGAAGGGATGGTGTCAGTCCTGAGGACCCAGGGCTTCAGGATCTCCATAACACAGGGCAACAACGGGATGTCCAGGAAGCGTCCCAGTGAGGGCCCAGCTTTGATGCTGTAGCAGAGACCAGAGGCCGCAAACCAGACCAATGATTCTTTTCTATAAAAGTCTACATGTAAAAATATATTGATAAAGGGGTTTATTGCGTGACTCACTGTGTCACACTGCAGCTTCCATGACGAGATTTTCCCCTTCTTATTTTTTTTCCTCTTTTTCTCTTAAATTTTATTTTGTTTTATTTTGGGGTAGGGTCAGGAGGCATGATATGAAAGACACAAGGAATAAATAAAAAGGTTTAGGGTAACAAGCTGTACCAGTTTCTAGTCCCAGCCACAGGGCAGGGGAATGGGCATCCCCCATCTCTCTCAGACACACAGAATATGGAAAGCATAGTGAATTTAGTAGGACTGGTAGCCTTTAGGACTTTAAATTCCAGGAATGCACAAAACATAAAGTCCTTATTAAAAGCATGGCTTAACACTGATGCCAGTTTTCCTGGACACACAAGTGAGGAGACATTCCCCAAGGATCTAGTTTTCTCACCTGTCAGCCAGG